GGACTGGGTCGCTCAGATAAACTGAGTATTAAGAAAAAACGCCTCTATGGTGGATATAAAAATGATTTTAACATCAAGAGTAAATAGTTATAGCTTTTCATTACTATAAAATCATAGGAGTTCCTGATAAGGTAATTATAAAATAAATTAGGAAATTATAAATGAAATTCTCCAAGCAAATGTTTAAGTAAATATATTCCTTATATTGGTATTCATACCTCAGACATTAATTAACCCATGGAATATAAATCGAAATATGGCAAGTAATTTGTCATTTAGTATATAGATATATGACATACACCCACCAAACCCCTCTCCGGTATTGAATACCAAACTGCGACTCACTCGAAACCCCTTGTCTTCGGTCATATAACGTATACGCGGGGTCTGCCCACGGCTATCATCGGCCGTTTCTATCTAGACAACAAGATTGGCTTGTGTGCAATCGAGGCGACAAGAAAACACTTTTGCTTTCGGACAGTAAAACGCCGAACTCTATTGAGTCCGAAACCGAAATCGATTCCTAGGGAACTGAAACGAGCAAATAAATGTCAAAAGTGTGTATTCGGTAATAAATTGTCGAAATTGGAAGAATAATTCGGGTGTTGTAAATTCATAAAAATATCAGGTGCGATGCATGCGCCATATCCCCGCCCCCCTAAACCCTCTGGCCCACTCTCAATGATATTTTTCGTTCTTCTGCGATGAAGCAACGCAATCCAAAAAAGTATAGAAGCGGTGAAGGAGAAGCAAGAACGCACAAGTGCACAATAAAACCGCGGGGAGACGTGCGTTCTGATAGATGATATCATCAGGAAATACAAACATAGATTCATTCATTTTATGGTCGATTTCCATGTGTGCTTAACCCACATATCCCGGTAGCTGGCATAATAGCATAAAAAGTTCTGAAAATTTTATATTGGTTTACCTACTCCAAAATTGGCCAGTCCGTAATTATTTTTTTGATGGACATGAAAGTCCTTAAAAACTAAACTAATTTCCAAATTGTATGTGATACGATAAAACCAATTGGGCATAGTATACTTATGATTTCTATGTGAAAATGTTATTGTAACAAAATTAAACAAAAACCATATTTTCAAATATTACTTTAAAATTATTTTTATTTTTAAATTATATTTATAAATTCATTTGGACAATTTTATTTAAATTACTGAAGTCGAGTGTTTATATCAAGGTCAAATAGTCCAATATTTGGAAAAAATGGGTTAACTCACCTCTAGCAGGGAGACATTGGCAACCCAGTCTATGAAAAGATGAAAACAAAAGTCAAGTAGCGCTGAGGGAACTTCATAAATTACTGCTTTATAGAGTATCCAATAGCACCGGCCATAAAACGTGTCCCACTGATAACCCAGTACACCACAACCAGCCGCATAATCTTGATCCCAATGCTTATCTGGCGTTTATCTCTGGCTGAGCGAAAGAACTTTCGGGCGGTGGAAACTTTGTCTACTGCAAATTGTATCTAGCACCGGCGATCTGACCAAGTTTACGCCTGAATTTAAGACGCCCAATTCGAGTCTCCTCCCATTATCTGCTCACGAGCTGTAAATTCTCCGAGTGCGACACTTTTATTTTGATGTATTTATGACGCCTTAATGTGTTGAGAAAGAACCACAGTACAAGTGATTGGTGTTTGAGTCTTCCATTATCAGGCGACACCGAATGTTATGTTTTATGATCCTATATATAGCCGTTTCTTGCCTAATTGAATGATATGATAGCAGGTTTTAGAAAATATTTTAATAACTCTTAATACAATCGATTCTCAGGTCATAAAAATGCTGATACTCGAGCCCGATAACGATTTTACCATCGACCAGAGTCGAAACCAACTGACTGAGTAGCCGATCGTGATGGAAAGCAGTGATGATGTTAGTGCCGATGATGGTGGTGATATGATGATGGTTTCGATTGCCAAGTAAGTTTGGCTATCGCTAATAGATTATCATACTTTTATATTTTGGGAAACTCGTGTTAGATAGTGATAGGGGGTGAGTGGCTATTTGGAGGGGAAGCCAATAATTTAAAATGTCTGGTAGATATTCTAAGGACGACTGACCCAACAAGCGCAATTTATTTTCTACAATTGGTAGATTAATATAATAGCATATAATTTTATAGAATCAAGGAAAAAACTAAAAATTTGATAAGAAACAACCCTTATTCATATTTTCCTAAAAATTAGTTTTTATGTTGGTCTCTGCTTAATTCAGATTACAGTTTATCAGATCATACTAATGACTAAATTTCAAACGAATACATGAATGAAATCTACATCAGAAGAAATTAAAGGGAAGTCCAAAAGTTTTTAAAAATAGAACGGAGCTAAGACTTCCATATAATTGTTTTTTGACTAACATAAAAATGAAGCCAAATGTAATTTAAAACTATTTCAATCATTTATAAAACGGAAACTAGTTTGGAGGAAGAAGATTATAGAAAATATTCACATATTAATAATGCTGTCATTATTTCCTTTTTTCGTACAGATCTTTTCTAAATTTTAAACGGCATTATCCAAAAAAAAATGTTTAAAAAAATTTCAAAAAAAATAATATAACAGAATATAATTGATATGTAAGAAGACTTAAAGAATTCGATGGGATGCTAAGACTTTCGCTGTAGAAAAGGTAAGACAAAAACATTTTAAAACTAACGCAATTTTGATTTCCTGCCCTTCTTTGTCAGTAAATATTTTAAGGAAAAGTAAAATTTTTTTGACTCTTGTAGTGGAATTTTTGCTCTTTACAAAAAATAATTACGTAATAAGTTTGGATATTCAAACCATTTTAATTACGTACGTAGTTGAATGCATAGGTAAAATGACAAAAATTTGGAAGAAGTTATTTTTTTCCTACTTCTTTTTTATACCCTTGCAGAGGGTATTATGATTTCAGTCAGAAGTTTGCAACGCAGTGAAGGAGACGTTTCCGACCCCATAAAGTATATATATTCTTGATCAGCATCACAAGACGAGTCGATCTAGCCATGTCCGTCTGTCCGTCCGTCTGTCCGTCTGTCCGTCTGTCTGTTTCTACGCAAACTAGTCTCTCAGTTTTTGAGCTATCGGGACGAAACTTTCGCAAAAGTCTTCTTTCTATTGCAGGTAGTATATATGTCGGAGCCGACCGGATCGGACAACTATATCTTATAGCTCCCATAGGAACAATCGGAAAAAAAACTTTAAAAAATTCTAGCTTCGGTGTTTTTTGAAATATTACCTTCTACTTTTAAGGATGTTATTTTTTAAATATTTTTGAATTTCGAATAAATTATTTAAAAAATCGGACTACTATATCATATAGCTGCCATAGGAACGATCGGAAAATTAATGGAAAAGTAATAGGAAAAAAAAATTCAAGCTTCTTTGCTTTTTATTGTATTATCTTCTACTCTAGGATATGACTCTTTTTAAATATTTCCGAATTTCAATTTTAATTTAATCAAAATCGGACGACTATATCATATAGCTGCCATAGGAACGATCGGAAAATTAATGAGAAATATTAGAAAATTGAACATTTTTGCGATTTGTTAATTAATAGGAATGATCTGCAAGGGTATATAAGCTTCGGCTGGCCGAAGCTAGCTTCCTTTCTTGTTTTTTTTTAATTTTGGCTTTTTAACAAATTTGTTTTATTTTAACAAGGCATATCTTCATGTCATAATTTCTGGTAAACATAAGTTTTGAAAGATAAGCGATATTGCGCGCTTCCAAGAAATATCAAATCAATTCCACCAGGCGTAATTATGAGCTGAAATCAGTAACTTTGCGGTCCCCTCAGGAATAAAATCTTTCGACAAATACGCGCGTTATGTGAATCATTTTAATATTAAAACAACGAAACAATTACGATATGACAAACTGTATTAGGAAATCCGGCGAACATTAGCTAATCAACATTATTCCAGCAAAGCGTCACAGAAGATCGGATCGGGTAAGTATTGAGTATTGACTACTTTACACAATCTCGAATTCGAAACCGAAAGCTAGTCTTTATTTCCATGAGTTTTCTTATCAGTGTCCTAGTTTTCAAATATATATATTGCAAAACTAATTGTACCATAAGGTTATCCCCCCAAAAGAGCCAAATCTCAAACCACGCGCCTTCTCAGTGCCACGCGCCTTCAATGTCAGATGATTAAAGTTAAGGACCACACCAGCAGTCGCATTTTCAAACTAATTCCTGTCTTTGTAACTTTCCGTTTCTACAAAATTGTTTTATCTTGGAGCTCAAAAGGAAACGGATAAGAAATAACGCGCGAGTAAAACGGAACAAATCTTGCCTAATTGAAACAGATGCCTGGGATATATATAAGATTAATAAGAGAGCATAAGCAGAGCCACGAGTCGGAATATTCCAAGAATATTTGAGTCCACGTCTTATTCTGAGAATTCCCGCTTTATAAAAGATTAAATCTCTGGGGATTGCCTTAACTGCAATTTGTACTTCTCTTTATATGGTCCCCAACGGGTTATGATAAATATTTTTTGTGTGTTGAAAATGATTATTCAGCCGCAATATAAATTTTATTTATGGCATAAATCTATTCTTTAAGGAGTAATAAAAAAATAATTTTACATTCAATTTTGGTTTTCAAATAAGCGATTTCGCTGTAGAAATGTAATATAAAATCGTTTGATTTATTTATTTTTATGAATTAAAAAAACATCATATCAAAGATTTGTTGCTTTCCTGAATGGGTCTCCCTGGGATAATTATTGTGACATTTTTTTTTAAATTCTTGTGACTAACCAATCATGGACTGTAATTCATTCTTATAAATTTTTAAAAAGAAAAAAAGTTTGAGTTGCTTTTTTTTATTATTATTATTTTTAAATAATACATTTTTGAGTTTTAAAATTAAACTCGCAAGGATCCCTGCATTTTTCCGACCTAAGCATTCTTAAACTTTTCCCCCCAAGACAACTTTAAGAATTCCGTGAATACATGATTTCTTATACTCACCCTGATTAAATTTCCTAGCAAGCGCTTTCGATCGCATGATAATCTCCAGCAGTGACGTCATTAAACTAGACTTTTTATATATCCATGTCCAGAAATGTAAGACTCAGGTGAAATCCTTTAGCAATTCAAAAGCACTTGGGCCAATGACATTGACACACTCCGCGATACTCTTTCTGCCTCCTATTTTCTCTATCTCACTCACTCTTTCGCGACTTTTTTTGTAACAAGTTAAGCCAAGAAGTCGAAACAATTAGAAATCACTTTTGCAAATCAAGAACACAAGTTTTTCCGGGGTGGACAACCGACACAACTGCATTTGCATAAAATCTTTTCGTGGGTTTGGGGGTGGTGTTTATGAATTTGTGGCCAAGCCAGCAAAAATCTCTTCAATGTCTGCCTTTTTTCTTGTTGCACACACGTATCGAAAAAGTCAAATGGGGTAGTGGGAAAATATCGAGAAAAAGCCAACAAAACCGACGGAAAAAAGACGCTAGTGTTGTGATACGAGTTGCTGTTGTTGTTGTTGTTGTGGAAAAACAGTTTAAGGCACACACAGTTGGGAAATGCGAAATGCAAAATGCGAAAATGGAACTGGAGCTGGAACCGGTGGAACCTGGAGAGCAAAAACCACCTGAACACACCTGCCCCACAAAGCTCCTCGAAAGCGACTGACGACGGAACTCGAGGCAGAAAACAGAGAACAGAAGCGGAAAACTGAAAACGGAAAATGAACTGAGCGGAGCAGAGAACGCCGACTATTTCGTCTATGCGCTATAGTTTCTTTTTCCCACCTCTCCCATTTGCTATTTTCCATACCAAAAAACAAAAAAAAGCACAGGAAAATAAAAAAGAAAACCCGCCAAGGCAAGGAAAAAAGGAGACTGACTATCGCGGTGGCAATTATGAAGGAACGGGTGGAGCTCCCAACCAACCAACCACACAGGCATGGGCACGTGCTTACCGTGGTAGTGGTGATTTCAGGTGATTTTAGGTGTTTCAGGTGCTTTGGGTAGCTCGCTTCGGGTGTGTGAGTGCGGGCAGCCAAAGGACACTAACGACGGAGCACGAAAAACGCAACGTAATTCATGCAAATGAAGTCACGCAAGATTCCCCGCTCCGCTGAAGAAAGAGAGAGAGACAAGGGAGCCCAGGCCTCCAAATGAGACCTCTACGATTGCCCATCCAATAGGCTTTCACCTGGCCAAGAAGGAGTCGGAGTCGGGTGAAACCCTTATTGGCTGTGAGCTGGAAAAGTTTTAGGGAATCATAAATGTGAATATATTTAATGGGTAAGCAATATAGATAAAAGGAACTGTATCTATTTGTATCTGAACCAAATTTCGTAAAAATAAAAATTAAGAATCCTCTTTTTAAATGTATCATAATTATTACAATAACCCTTAAAAAATACATTTACAAAAAGGTACCCTTACATATATTACAGTAATCAATTTCTACAACGTATTTATCTTTTAATGAAGATATCTTTAATTAATTTTAAGAAATAATATGTATGTTAGTGTATTTACATAGTAAATTAAAACTAAAATTAAAAAAAATCGGTCTGACATATTTTTAAAGAAATTATAATAGTCCTTATCAATAAAACAAATTATATAAAAATCCTTCGTCTTTTTAAAATGTTCCCTCATAATTTATTTAAAAACCTAAAAAACATTCTTGTTTCTTAAATTACTTTATTTTTGTGATTTGCGAACATGGTTGATCCTTGTATCCTGTCTAAGCTCCCCTATTCGATTTCCATCTGAAAGTCTACGAAAATTCGTCGCCCAACCTTGCTATCGTGGCCATCTATCTATATGGCTGTTATTAAAGCCCAACAGGCCATGCACATGCCAAGTAAGTTTTGGGCCTAAGTCCTTTACTTCCCCCTTTTTTGCTGATATGTGACCCCTCTTTAACCCTCTGGAAGCCCCCCATCAGCCCTCTTTATCACCCACTGTGAAAATTTATGCAACACCCACTCTATTAGCCCCCTCGAAAAAGACCACCCTGTGACCAATGGGCAGGCAAAAGGCACCACTGTGGGGGGTGGGCAGTCCTTGTGTCATGTCACAGAGGGGTGGGCGGTGGCGGGTGGGTGGTGTAGATTTGTCGCCTGCTCAGTCCGCGTGTCAGTCGTTTGTCATATAGGCCCGACAATGTCGGACGTCTGACGTCGTCGTCTGGAACTCTTTTCAAGTACATGCAATCAATATTTCGCTTGCATTAATTATTCATGCTAGAAAAGAGCCACCCCCTCGCCAACCGCAACCCCCCTTTGCAGCGCCCCTGGCCAGTCTGGATAATAATATTTCAGCCTTTAGCTGCGTTCCAATTCCAGCGCATTGCTAGCATTTTTTCTTTATTACCAAGCGAGAGGCAAACAGGCTACAACGAAAGAGAAGGAGCTATGGGGGAAGAAAGGGAGAGAGGAAAGCGAGAACTATCCAAGAGAAGAGTGAGAGGTGAATAGGCAGATCGGGTGGGTGGCAAAGCCATAATAAAAGTAAGTCAGCCGAGGGAAAAACATTTGTTTTTGTTCCATCTCGTAAAATATATGCGAAGATTTGCGCCAAAGTCCAAATCTGTTAACGATTGTTGTTGCTGTTCAGTTTGGGTCAGCTTTATGGAACGTATAATTGGCCCAAACGGATCTCGGCATCCAAATGCGCTGCGCCTTATTAATAATTGCAGTTTTCATAGCTGTTTATCTAACTTTTCGTACGTCATTTGAGGCGCCAAATGTTTGGTTTTCCCAGGGAGGGGAATACAGGTTCATTGTTCTATTTTTACACTGCACTTGATCTTGCCAAACAAATATAAATTTACATAGTACATGCACACTGGAGGGCATAACTTTGTTGGGATTTTAGCCAATTATTTCAAGGTCGCCCACTTGTGTGTGGGAAATTGCACAAAAAAGGAGCGAGTAGATGTGCTAAAAATACAATATCATGGGCAAAAGGAAATTAAATCATGCACCGGATAAGGCAATATCAACAGACATTAGCGCTGCTTAGCAGAAAGGAAACCCCAAAGGAAGATAAATGCTCGTTAATATGACGTTATTCATTTCTTATCGTTTAGTAGTTATTTTTTGTACGTAACTAACATTAAGTTAGTCATAATTGTGACCTCACATTCATATATTTAGAAAACTGTTTCATTAACTATCGTAAAATCGTATTTTATTTATCGTTTGTAGTTGTAAGTAGTAGTAGGCATTTTTACAATGCGATATATTCATTCTTTATAGGAAGTATAATAACAAACTTGTTTACAAACATTAAAGAAGCGCGAAATTTTTCTTTCGAATAGACTATTATATATTAATTAATTAATATTATTATATTATTTCTATTACAAATGTGAAAAATTTGTTTTTTGAGAATTATTTAAGAAATTGAACTATAGGGTCATTGTTAAAGTTTCTGAGTTAATTGTTCTAATTAATTGTTAAAACAAACCAAAGCCGAATCGTTAGCTTCTTAATTAAAACTTTAAAGCCGAAATTATGACCTCCTTGAAATCCAAAGGGAAAAGTGTCTGGGAAAGCCTTTATATTTTCCCACTGGCGAGTTTTTCATTAGTTTTCTAACAGGGAGAGAGTGGCCAAAGCGAAATGAAATAATTTCAGAGCACTTTTAATTATCTGGAAATTACAAACACACATCGGGTGCATATAAGCATTTATTTTGTATATAGTGGGAGATGCAATTTTCAGTATGAGGTAATCGGACGGCAGGCTTTTCCACCCATCCTCCCAAACACACACAGCCCCCCGCCACACACACACAAACCCACTCCCACACACGCGCACTAATACAGACAAACGCTGGCTTCTGACTGGCGGGCATTCAATGGAGTTGTTGCTGTTGTTGTCGCCATTTCGCTGTCGTCTCCCTTATCTCCCTATCATTATCTCTCTCTCGATTTGGGGATGGAGATGGGGGATGGGCCGGGGGATGGGGAGAGCGGAGAGCGACTGTCATTCGTTTGTCATCGTTCGCCTTCGACTGAGCGGCGAAAACTTTGGCGTCACAGCAGCGGCAGCGGCGGCAGCAGCAGCACACTCTCTCGCGCCCCCTCTCTTTCTGCCGCGTCTGCGCCTTGGGGCTCTGGGGTGGAGCTTTGACCGAAAGAGAGCGGGAGCGAGAGAGTGGTGGTCGCGGCGAATTCGCCAGGTAGCTTGTTGCTCTCTTGTTGCTGCTGGCATTTGATTAATGAAGTGTGTTAAGAGGTTACCAGCCAAGGACAAAGGCTCTCCATGAGGTCCTTGACTGTGGCAGGAACACATTCATATATATATGTACAAAGATACCTCGCAGGAAAGACAACTGGGGGCGTGGTCTCTGCCGGAGTTGCTGCCGTGTCGCAGTTGCTGCCGCTGCTGCTGCTGTTATCATATCTCTCTGTCGCTGCTCATTTGGCGCTCTCTATCTCATAGGATATGACCATCCCGCTCGCTCATCTGTTGCTGCTGTTGCTATTGCTGTTGCTCTTTCGCCTCGGCCCACGTTGCGTATACGTAATGTGCGCCAAATTGTGTCGCCACACTGTCGTTGGTCCATTGATGTGCGCTGATAGCGACAGTGGGCAGAAGCAGCGACGCAGCAGCAACATCAGCAGCAGAAGCAGCAGCAACAACTTTCCGCAAAATGGCGTTTGCAGGTACATATATAAATATATGTGCAAATAACAAAGCAATAAGTAGAAAAAAATAAATCTTTTCAGACACAAAACCCCACAGATATACACCTTTCCACCACACCCCCCTAATCATTCGCTGGCGATATCTCCAGCTTGTCAGCGCAACTTTCTTGTGACTGTAAAAATAAACAAAGGCGAAAAAGCAAAGAGCAAACAAAACCCTGCAAAAAGAGGCAACTCCTTGTTGTTGCTGCTGCTGCTGTTGATGTTGCTGCTGTGTTTATTGCCTTCAGCTGCCGTGGCAGCCGCAGCACTGAGTTTTATGTCTTCATTAACTGAAAAAGTTATGAGCCATGGCTGCGGGAATGGGCAGAGGGAGCAGGAAAGGCTGGAAAGTGGGAGCAGAAATCAGGGAATGGAGGTGGAATAACGAAGGACAGACCTGACCACAGCCTCCATCTGTAAAAGACGTAATTGGACTTGGACTGATGGTTGACAATATTCCCTTTTCCCTTACTATATATGTAGTACTAATAACATTTTTTGTGATCTCCGTCATGGTAATCAGTTTTTGTCATGTGCAGATTCTATGTTTACAGCAAAGGTTTTTTAAGGGCCACAGTGGTTCGAAACTGGTTTTTGTCTACCTAAAACTCGAATATAATAGAAAAATCTAAGCAGACGAAATAATCAATACATTTGTGAGTATTAAGTATTTTTGATACCGTTTAAAATAGACATTAAACGTATTTTTAGTAGTACCTAATGATTGAAATTTTTTTTTCATTAAACATTTTGAGTGTACAAAAAATTACATAAATAAAAAAACACTGACAAATATAAAAATTGTTTTAAAAAATTTTTATAAATTAAAGATTTAACAATTCAGTTATTAATTCTTAAAGTATTTAGTCCAGTCCTACTTTCCACTGATTTGCCCCACAGTGGACCGTTGATAACTCATTTCACGTGTCTAGATAGTATTACAAAACGCGTAGCACCGAGCTCCACTTACCGCCTCGAA